CTCACTTCTCGGCTAATATAGAACGCAAAAAATTCGAGTCTCGAAGGAGCAACGGAGAATCTATAACAGCGCAGGATTTCGATAATGTAACGTCAAAGCGCGAAATAAATTGATCGGAATGCGCCGATTCTTTGAGCTCTCGGCATTTTTAATTAACGAATTGTTAATAAATTTTCTCGCGGGAAATTGCACAAAGGCGGGGCAATCTCTGGGTATAAATGGCCAAATTAAACGCGGCCCGTCGCCGTTTGATGGCGTCTGTTTATTCAATTAATTTAAAATTCAAAGGCTAAGGTTACCCTTGAGGAGAGACAGGCATCGGAATTGCCCACGAGTTTTTAGAGAAATGAAAGGCGAGTCAAGATAGAAATATTTCGTGATTATCAGTGAAATATGAAAGAGCAACGCGGCGAGGAGACAATCGATCATTCATTTATTTCTCCCGCGATTAAGAGAATCGGCGGGGTTAATTAGTTCTAGCTTCGTCACGCGAAACACGAAGGTGACGCAAGAAGTTATTTTATGATAGGCGGATTGCAATATGTAGCGACGCACGGTTAAAAGGATCAGATTTGAAGAGTCGTGAAACAGTAAGAAATCAAGAACAAAAGTATCAACAATTTCTCTGGAATATTTAAGGAAACTGTTTCCAAGGGAACTATGAAACTGTTGCGAGGACAAGCGTCAATGACTGAAACATTTCTCGTCGATGATTCAGTCGTACGTAGAATAAAATATACAACGTAAACTTTAAAATCGTCGGCTAGTGAGGCGAGCGTTCGCGAACGAAGAAGTTACGGAGAAGAAAACGTGAACGCATTCGGTTGTAACAATCGTCAAATTATTTGAACAATGTTAAGCCACCGAGGCAGCGGATCGGAATCAACGCGAGTTCCTTTTCGGTCGTTTAACTCCGCGGAACATTTAAGACCCTCGACCGGAAGTCTGTCTTTGATTCGAAACAATGGCCTAAGTAGGACGGCATTTATTAAGTTGAATTAATTGCCCGCGATAGAGTGGCTCGAAAAAGCCGAGCTAAGTGACTCGAGGAGCACGTCAACAATATTCAAGTGGCACCCACTTTCGATTCGATATTATCGAGTGACCTGCAGACCCGTGTAATTAACAGAAGTTACGATAACGAGAGGATTTCGCCAACTGATAAGTAGAAAAGTTCACCAGTTATGAAATTGCTATGCAGCAACGGGCGCTGAATAAATCGTCGCGAAAATAAATCCGTTTGATTGGACAACTTTCGAAACCCCTCGTGCCGGAGCAATTATTATTGCGTACCTTTATACGGATGAAAATGTATCATTCATCGTTGCTGAGTGAATTTTTATAAACCGTTAAGCTCCGCCAGCTTCCACCGTGAATATACATTTTTAATCTTTCATCTTTCATCGGCCGAGCGACACATGAAATTTTCCTTCGGCCGAATGAAAACAACTCTTGATTGCGGGCTCATTAGCAGGAATCTTCATGTCGTGTTTCCTTTTTTTTTCTTTCATTTTCATAGCCTGTAATTACGCTACGTAATTCTGTCGCGTTGTGGACGTTAGCCGTACACGATAAAATCATTCGCCGTTTTTAATTATGCGGCAGATAGGAGCCGAATGTTTCAAAGTTCATTCGAAGTGTACCGGAATGATAGATCCTAATTCTTCTTGTTCACGAATGTTTTTACGCCGCTTTATGAGAATTTTATACCGACAACTTCTGACCGACTGTTGTTTACGAAGGTAAATTAGCAAGTGTGTGCAGTAAAATCAAATAAGGCTTTTTAATTTGCGGAGGAGTAATAAAACGGGCGACGCGAAATTCCGACAATGTTGATACGCGAGCGTTTATGGTGATTTAAAATTCTGCATTTTTATTTTATATTCTGTTATTTGATTTTGCGAAGTGTAACCAATCGCCAATTCGGTGGAAAGTGAAAATGCTATCAACTGAATAGAATATGTTCCATGTTAGTAAGTTAAACGTAAACTTAGTTAATAAGGAAATAGAAAATTTCCGCAGAACTTGAACTTGAAAAGGGGAGAGCAATTTAAAGTTCTGTAGCAGTTATACTTACTGTAAAGCTGAATCTTCCCGTCAGTTTCGCCCAGCGAGTTAGTCGCCACGCACCGGAAGTATCCGATGTCCTCGGGTCGCACGGACTTTATGGTTAGCCTCATTGTTATCTCATACCCATTTGGTATTGCTTCAACAAGGTAGTGCATGTCTATAAAAGAAAGAACGAAATTTCAGTGATCGTTGCTACAATCAAACTATTTCTTGTCGTATTACAACCATCAACACTTTTACAAAAATTTTATCAATGAACATTCGCGTACGAATAAACATTACGTTCACGAAGCTAAATGCTCGGGTGTCTAATAATGTATTCAGTTTCACAATATTCCACTTCAAAGGTGCTTCTTCAATTATACAATGAAACATATAACGATCAGTGGTAATCTACTTAATTTTCAATTTGCAATCAACGTTTGAGTGCCATTATCGAAATGACATGAAAAAATATCTCACGAGGTAGTACAACATACAATATTACTTACGGGAGGACCTAATACATTGAAACACGATAACCCTTAATCTAATTACCTCTCCATTGCTAAAATAATGAATCCGTCAGTAAAAACCCTCAACAATAATGTCACAATCGGAAGAATAAAACCGTGGTGTTGAATAAAACCATGTGCCATAATAAGAACATAATTTTTATTTTCCTCTATGCGTTTTTGGAGTTCACGAAAATTACAGCGTGCGGCTACACGAGGTCGGTAAGGGGTGAAGGCGTAAGAAAAACGTAAAACGAGACTCGTCGCAGGCCAAGCCGCGTCTCTAATTTTGTTAACGTGTAATTGCACTTGTCGTTCGTTAAAAAGTTAGCTTGTTTCATTAGGGAAAAGAGCCGGTTTTTGAATAAGAAACCCGTTTCCCGGGTAAACTTGGTATTTATACCGGTGGGTCACTAAACGTTATGAAACTGTGTAAAGTGGATGGCACCGGCCACGTTATTTGCACGTCTGTCGTTCCCACGCTGGAAGGGACGTCCATGTTGCCCGTCCATGATGTTTCGGCGGTGCAACGCCGGTAATGTGGAAGCATGAGGCATTTACTCATGACTTATCAGCACGCGTCGCGCGTTCAACGTTCAAGCAATAATTCTTCTGCCTTCGTACTCGCGTCGGTTCACCAGAGTCTACCGGGTGCGCAACACCATTTTCACCGCGCCCTTCGCAAACGCGGACGGTTACACGAATTCGACGATTTACAGCTGACGCGGGGAAAAAACATATTCGTTACAATTGTTGTTTCACCGTGCGTACGTTTCGTGTTTTCCGCGTTGCTTGCTTTTGTTGGGTAAACTCTGCCACCGTGTGTGGTACAATGTAAATTCGCAATTTTTATAATTGCAACGTGTTTCTTCGCTTGCAAATGGATTCGAATGAGAACGAGACGCTCCGCGGATCGCTTTAAGAATCGATTGTTTCGAGGTTTACTTTTTCTCTGATGTAGGTCTGATTATTGAAACAGTGATGCGAAAGTTATTCGAAGATTCGAGTGAAACAGTTGGTAGGACTGTGCGCTTCGTTGAGTTTAATACGTTTGCGTTTGGTTTAGGAATGATCTCGTAATAAATGTACGGTGACCAATCAAATCCGTAACCGGCATTTTACGGTTCGCGCCGGTTTGACAGTGCACCGCGCAGCAACGTAACTTTTCATATCCGGGGTTGAATTTTAAAACGCCGACAATAGTCCGAGTGCAGAACACAGTACTTGGCTCTTGCCGGTTGCAAATGCAATATTAATCATGTTTCAACATTCACGCGACCACGGTGAACAACATTTCTCTTTCACACGGTGACACGTACGCCCAACCTGTGATTTATATTTTTAATAAAACGTCATATATTGTGTTTGACGGTCGAGCACGAAATTTTACTTCTCATGCCCGTTTCGTTGTATGCGCATATTTGTTCGTTTAACCCTGCTGCTGGTTCGCTTTTCCTTTTCGACTCAATTGCATTCCCATTTCCTTAGCACTATTTCGTTCGTTTCACTCGATTTTTGGTATTTATTGTTAAAGTATAACTTGCCGCTAAAATAAGAATGATCAGCACGAATAACTGTCGTGTCAACTAGAAGTAAGCGATCAGTTTATTTTAATACTCCGTGGATGTCGGTTAACGATCATTTTGGCGATCTATTAAACATTGTCGAACAACCAATATTTCTCGAAATGGGTAAAACCAACCTATCCGGGATTTTAAAGGGGATATTCTAACGCGACGAGTGTAATTCCGACGCATTTTTTACGAATTACTTTTAAAAATTCACAAAATTCATTCACAAAATTTACTCACGTTCGGTGAAAGACTAGAAATTTTTTTGTTGGAGAATAATTGAAAATAGCTACCGTGCAACGTGTCAAAGTTTGACATGAAACATGTCAAAAAATGTTTTTAAGCGTTTAATAACAGATTGTAATAATAACAGAACACTGTTTGCAGTCAGTGCATTATTTTGTTATATACTCAATTTCCTGGCTTCGATTGCTAACTGCAAATGCTAACAAATAACATAATAAACAAATCAATTATTAATACTAATTCATTTTAACATTGTAAATTAGCGAACGTGAATATGATAAGGATTAAAAAACGTTTAACCAATTCAAGGCCAGGATATTTCTGAATAACTCTCCGGGAGCAAAAACACGAAATCATCTTTCCTTACATTAAAACCAACGCAAGTTCCAATTTCGATACTTTAATTTCTACTAATACCTGATCAAGCAATCCTGTTTTTTACCGCTAATTGGTAATAAAAACTCAAGATCATCGGCTACAGGGTGCGCCATTGATCTTTCCACTTAGATACTCCATCACACACTTGGTGTGCAATTCGTCACGAACGTGTTAACAGCAGAACGGCACTCTGTGTACCGTGTTCGACCGCCAAAAGAAAGCGCGAAGGGGTTCTATCAGCGTCAACGCGATTGTTCAACGAAACAATTTAGCGCTTTGTTTCCCGTATCAGTTTTTTAGCACCACACCCCTTCCTTGCCCCTCATTCTGCATCTTTCTTGTCGTTTGTTTCGTTTGGTGCAATCTGTAAGTTTAACGAGTTCCTGTCACGCCAACGGCGAAAGTTTCTCGCGCTCGAGACCTTCCTCGCCCCTCGCCGTCCTGGCGGTCCGACGTATCAATTAATCCGGAAATAAATGTTTCCGCGTCTCTCCCCGCGGCATTTAAGGCCGGCAATAATTCACGTTCCGTAGGAAAATTAAGATATGTACAGAATATCACGCGGTTAATATTAATTTTGTAACCGAGCCCCGTGTTATCAATTAAATCAGCGTCGAAAGGGGTGAGCCAGCGCGACGGGGGCGAAGTGTCACGCACGCGCGCGCAGCCGAGCCAGCCCTTCACCTCACCCTTCAACAGTTATCATGAAGGGTCTAGGCTGCATTTAAACCAAGAACCAACGACGTTAGGGTGAAACAATTAGCGGAAACCGCATTAACGTTGCCCCGTACGCGAACAAGCCCCGTCGCGCGAGGAGCTCGCCGTAATGAACTAAAAAGAAGAAAAACTGCGCGTTAAAGGGTCGAATAAATTATCTCGCATAATCACGTGAATAAGATCGCCCCACGGGGGGAGATTTTTCAACTGCGAATTAGTTGAAACGCTTAAGCGGTTGCTCTTTCACGGCCGCGCTTGTTTTTTCATACGCCGTTGCTTTCAGCGGCACGGTGATTTGTTACGTACGGGAGATGAAAGTGTTGTCTCATGTTGTTTCACGGAGAATTTTGTTTCAAAGAGTGGATGGCAGAGAAATTTGTTATAGTTCAAATTTGTCGAGTGAGTACTGTATTTTAAGGAACGCCTTTCGCAACCGTAAATAGTTGACTCTTTACGATCGAATGCCACTGGAATGGTGACTTCGAGATTCGGTATTCGATATCGAGAGCTGCAAATGAATATTTCGTTATTAATTATTTATATAATTAATTATTCGAATGATGAGAGATTCGTACGCGGCTTCTCTAATATTTACGACCTCGGTCCGCAACTTAGCTTTTCATGGATAGAGCTTTTAGAAGACTGAGAAGTTCAGTTTCCTACTATTTCTGAGATGTATTTTCGAGTGGAGCATTATTTTGCAGGAAAGGAGTTCGTTTTTACGCACCGCTCGCTATCGTTTCGTTCGACGGCCCGGTCCAGTAGGTGATCGGTCTCGGAAATGCCTCGCTACGACACTCCAATGTAAGCTTTTCGCCCACGTAAGCACCCACTAGCTGGTCCTCGATCCAAATCATCGGTTGGACTGTGGAAAGAACGTTCAATACTAATGTTTAAATGGCATTAAAAACTTAATCGAAAAATGGGAAACTGTCATATGCAACGGTGCTCGATACATCGACGATTTAAAAAAGGAACCTTGGTATTAATACTTCCCATCACAAATTACTCCTGAGGTAATATTTCTAAAGCAAAGAATGAAATCATCCAAGCTACACTTACAATTCAGTCGCTCAAAAGCAATGCGGTTAAGTCCAGAAAACAGAAATTGAGAAAATTAATGTTCTGGCTTGTGAAATGATCGTACAACATATTGCGAAGTTATAACAAGAAAGGTTTTCCGATCTAGGAAAAACGAAGAAACGAGTAAATCCTTTAACAACTAAAAAGAATATTATTTATTCCATTAAAGTTTACAAAAATCAGGAAATATCAAAAAATGGATTTAACTGCATTGGCTTCTGCAGCTTAATTAGAAGACATACTGAAATTGAAATTACATTCATTGAAGTCCGCAAGAATATCGATTATCAGGTGACGTTCTTTTAATATGTTTGGATTAAAAATGGTTTGGAATTGATTAACCGATAACGGCACTTAGAGTAATGAAACTTATTCAGAGCCGCCGGTAAGAGGAAAGAACAACTGATTCCGTGGTAATGAAGCGGTCTGATGGAATTACACCTCGAAAGCCCCGCGCTTCGAGTACCATTGTTTTAATCAATCCGCGACAGAGTCGACAGGTCGGTTCGTGATAGCGGGAGCTTCGCCGCCGGCAGAAAATATTTAAGGCGCTACTTCAGTTCCGGAGACAATGGCCCCCCCTACATCTGCCATTCACGATGTCCCAAGTGGCATCATTATGCCATGCTTTCGCGGGGAGATCCACGATCACGTTGCGAGACTTTCAAATTGCATTTTCGAGCATGCGTGTATAATACCCGCCTCCCCGTCCCATCCCGGAATTCCTCACGTACCGTTGGGCGATGACTTGATGTCTACCGGGACGACACAAGGAGCAAAAGGAGTTTTTCGTTGAATGTTTTCTTTTTATAGTTGTGATTGGTTAAATATGAACGTGTCGGTGAATGGTAAATTAAAATTGAATATAAGACAAGATGAAAAGTGAATAATCAAACTTTCTCGGATTAGTCGTCTAACGATCTCCCAACAGTACCTACTCTATTAACGGTCCCAGTATGTTAGTTATGTAACAATAATGAAATTTACTTGACGATCATAGAACTGAAATGAATGTAAAAACGATCTATTGATCGTATAATCTGGGAAATTGAAAAACAAGTAATTATTCGATAGTAAAAGGATTACTTGCTAACAGTAAACGCAAAGTTGGGTGTAAAAATGATTGAACGTAGAATCTATTCCTTTTCCTAATAAATTATAAATATTGAAATAGTTCTACCGAGTATAAATTGTGAAAAAAATCGCAAGTGCAAAGGGTCGAATAAAATGTTGGTAAGTCATATGTAGCTAAAAACAAGTAGGTGCTACTAGTACATATAATATACATGTATGAAAAATATATATTCTTAAAACAAGATTGTTAAGGGTTAAACTCAGCCATTGTTTCAAATAAAGTCATTGTTTTCGTCAACTGAAATTTGCTAATATTCGGTTTGTTGGCTTAAACTACTTACACTGAACAATGAGAACAATTCGCTTGCTGACTGATGGCGGCACTCCGTTTGAAGCTATGCAAAGGTACGATCCCATGTGGAGGCGCGTGACACGCGTTATTTCCAATTCCGGGCCCTGAAAGCTTGCCACTGTAACAAAATGCGTGTACGTGCATGTAGCATTGTACATTGTTACTTAAAACAACTAAATGCTTTTTTAATCCTCGCGTGTTACATCCGTACACACTGCTGCGCCCTATGAAGCGAGTGATTTTTGGCAGAGGAGCGAATTAACATTAAAACCACCAGACGGCGCAGAACGATCCATTTGCTGGTTTCTTCGTTTGTGCGAAATTATTAAAGAAATTGATTCAGCCAAACACTAATTGAATTATAAATCAATTGAAACCTGAATAGATGTACTCGAAGAAGTTTCTACAGGGAAATTTCAAAAAGTCAATTCAACTGCCCGGTAGTTTTAGTGTTAAAAAGAATGCACTGGTTAAAGTATTGTCCGGAATTATCGCAACAAATTACCGAAATACGATCCTTCGCGTATATTAAGTGTCTCACGGATAATTATCCGAGGATCGACAGCTGGGATGCATCTGCGAATTACAGGAACTTCCATGAAACTGTTATCAGATCCAACAACATAAATTATTCGAATACCCCGAAGAACTATTCCGACAGCGAATATCGGAGTAACCGGTGGAATTATTATTAGGCTGCGGAAAATGATGATTCGACATGAGAATTCACATAACCTGCACGGTAATCCAACGATCGATGTGTATGAAATTAAAGCGGTCTATTTTCCAAGAAATGTTCGCTCAGAGGTGGATACAACAAAACGCCTTTGCAGCTGGAGTTAATAAAATAGATAAAATATATAGATTATTCTCACACTACAACAATAGAAATTTGCCGATGTAGAGCTCAAATAGAGTTCGCGAGTTAACCTTACATATTAAGTAACAGAATAGAACAAAATAAAATATAATGAGATAAAATAAAATAAAAGAAAATACAATAAAATAAAAAGATGAAAAAAATAAAGTAAAATTTAATAGATTATATGCATCAATGCTAAGAAGTTCGGTGCACTGAATACTAAAGACACTTGATTAGTGTGGACATGACAATTCGCATAACCTGTACTGTGAAATGAAATGTTACAATGAAAATATTACTGAACAGAGTATCATTTCGATTAATTGTTAAAAGATAGTACCGACGATCCGAATGATCGTGCGAGAATTAAAGAAACCAAACGTCCGTGAACAGTAAAAAAAATCTAATGACAACACTGGCCGAGTAAAAATTTTCGTAAAAAATCGGATTTCGCGAGGAGAAGTTCGCTAAACTAGAATCGAACTCTTCGACGGCAGAATAGTTCATAAATTAAGAGAAATAATCCTGAAGTTTATGGGAGAACTTTCCCGCGGATTACGACTACTGATTTTAAGTCTTTTCGAAATTACGGAATCACAGTAAAAATATTCAATATCTTTCGAAGGATGAATTCCTTCTTCGTTCACGTTTAAATGGAAGTCGGAGGTATTCGGATGAAACAATAACGTTCGACGGGAATGGATAAAAATTTGATTAAACGCTTGGATTGGTTGTTACGTGTACGCAGTTGGTATTGCGATTTTTTTCATTTCGACGGGAATCCATGGGAACGCAATGATAAATGTTATTTTCGCTTTAATACGAAGTAAATGTGGGCAACACATGAAAGAACGATGCGTGTGTCGGTATATACTTACGCAACTGTGATTCGATTTTTGACTAAATTACACATCCTATTTAAGGACATGTCAAGACCATTTTATCGACAGGACAATTAATTACGTACATTTTATTACATTTTAACGGCGCGAACGCATTTCGCTGCAGAGTTTAATCAATAACCATAGTTCGGTGTAACTCGATTAATTGTCTTGGACTTCGAAATTGTTTCGAACAGCTATGTTATATTCGCGTTAAACGCGATTCACCGAGCATTCCTGTTTGCCCTTTAAAAGACCTAATATGTAAAACTAAAGCGCACCGTGTAAATAAAATGATATCTCATCTTACTTCAGGTGATCAGAACAGAAAAAAGTGTAAAAGAAATGGTACGCCTCATTTCGTTCGGTACTTAATAAAACTCTTCAACCTTAAACACAAATTTCCAATGATTCTAATTCAATTTTGAGAAACCTATAAATGCATAATAAATCTCAATCTAAACGATTTCTTGACGCCGTTTCAAATAAAGTCTCTAAAATAAACGTTCTTATTAAATAAAACTTCATCCACCACCCCGATTAAACTGAAATACAGTTTTCGCGTCAACAGATAAATAAAACGTAACATAAAAAATTTGTTTTAGGCCACGGAAACAAATCACTTACAAACCGAAGGATGAAAAGATCATTGCAAAAACGCAAGGTGCTTTTAGCCTTTTGCACTGGACACGATTTTTCATTTTAAATATTCATTATTCCAATGAAATCGATGATAATTCTGCAACTAATCTCCCATGAATTAAGGATTAGAACTATTTTACCTCCATGTTTCATACACCGACTTACTGATACATTAACTTCAGCAGTGAATGAAAAATTCCACGATTTCGCCGCGCCGAATCGAATGGCGGCCGAGGGTCGGCCCTCGAGTGCAAAGGGTTAAACACTTGTTGAACGGAATATTTAACCCATTGAAATTCATGCCACGCGTCGAGCTGTTCGCTCTTCGCCAATTACTGAAGCATTGTCTCCGACCGGTCCGAAAATTACCGACAGGAACTTTCACCGGGACCGAGCTCTTGATTTTTCGCGATCGGAGAACCACCCCGTGCACACGTGTGGGCTGCAGGGCGACGGAACGAGAGAGAGGAACAAGGGGGAAGGGAACGGTGTACACGACCGACAGAATATTTTATTTTCACTCTACTTATCGCCTAATGGAATCACGATCGAACCGTTCCGTGTCCGCCGTAGAAGGGTGAGCGGGGGTGAAGGTGAATGAAGAAGAATAGAAAGAGGCGACGACAAATGCTTAAAACGATTCCTCAAAAACCAGGCACGGACGATAAAAGATTCAACCGGTGAATAAATCTCCTGAAATTCATTCCCATCTTACCTCTGTCGCGGGAAAATTCTTTTCCTCCCGCTCGCTCGGCTCCGCTGTGTCGGAGGGCAGAAATATTTTAACAACGGACCCGGTAGAGCTCGTAATTTCCTGTTACAACATTTTTCTAAATATCCGACGCGACCGGAAAATGGAATCGCCGTTACGAAAATGAAAGGTTCGAAGGATTCGCCATGTATTTTCGATATATTGCAAATTTTCGAATGCTTTATGGTATAGTTAAGTAATGAAAGAAGAGGGAAGGGGAAAGTTAGGAGGATTGATTTTTTAACCCTTGTTCTGTGAGTTCTTTCAATAACTGTGTTTGGTTAAACTTATAATTCATCAATTCATTGATTCATTAATTTATTAATTCGTTAATTTATTAAGTCATTAATTCAGGAATATATTAGAAATAGAACAGAGGTTACTCTAAAGGTTAATGGTTGATACTACACAAAATGGTCGATAAAGAACAGTGAAACAGGCATTGCGAGATTCTCTTATATTAGGTTGCCCCATAAGTTCGTACCGCTCATTTTTCTACCATATATATAATAATATATATAGACATATTATTAAACATATTTGTATAGTAATTTGAATAGCTTCTAGTGATTAAACTGAAGTAGTTCAAACTTGTGTCGCCCTGTAATTACAAAACGTAAAGCGTAGAAATATTAATACACCTCGGCACGAACTGATGGGACGATCTAATATTTTGATCTTAAAATTACAAAGCTTTGCAAGTGGAAATGTACACTTCCACGCGATGACAAAAACCGTATTGGCAATCAGCGAGTGGTTTGCTTGATCAGTTGCGGTAGATAAAGCGTTAAGAATTTCGTCGCGAGTGCGACACGCTATCACAGGTCTCGCGGTCGATCAATAATGATCACACCGAACAGCCTGTACACACGAGCGACGCGATCCCGTTGCGATGCAGCGGCGATTGTTCTGGAGTAATAGAGAAATAAAGTTTTTCTGTCTTACAAAAGAAAAAGATAAGAGTTCTTTATGTTTTTGTAAAAAACCAAAATTGTACAGCGTCACCGCCCCGATTCCGCTGCGATTTTACGTTCATGTGCCATATATTGTGTC